TAAATCAAAAATTATACTCTCTTCGCTTATGTCGTACCCCAATATTTTTCATGGTATAGAAATCAATGCACGCCTTGGAAATTTTGAAGACAAATTCGTACAAACTAATATTCTATTTACAACTTTTTCCATACTACCATAATAGATGAAACACTAAAACGGTCCCTTTTTCGCTTCGTGCCACATACATATTCCTAAGATCTTTTTATTTATTCAATATACTGCTAAAAAAATGCGATGCATAAACGAAAGACTAAAGCGAAAAAGTAATGGCTTAAGATGGCTATGTTCAAAACATAGCCGAATCATGGCTACATCGAGAATCACCACTGAAGGCACAGGCATTTTTATTGCGGGGTATCAAAAAAGCGTACGCAGATACAGCCAAACTTGAATGTATTTCGGCCAAACGAATCTAAAAATGTTTCACTGATTTAAGGCTTTTAACACTTGTACCTGCTATTTTCCAACCACTTCTTCCACGTTGCTACATGGAAACTCGGTATTATTTTGAGCTCTCCCTTGTCAACAGCATCAATAGCTCGTTGGGCCATCACGTCACACTTCACGTACCACTGTGACTTGAGAATTGGCTCAATCACATCCTTGGAACGACTGAAAAATCATCATATCAACAAGGGGCCAAGGTATTTTCTCTACAGTAAATGAGACTTTACATACATTTCCCGGAAGGAACTGTTCTTTCTGGGTCGTGATCGAGGAAAAAAAAAACTCAAACTCCAAAGAAGATAAATTTCCAAACCTAAGTTTTGTGGCCATAACTTAGCAGTATCAAATTTAACAGCAGGCTGGATCGAATGACAAATATTGTCAAGATTGCTCAAGCGAATGATAAATATTGTCAAGACTCAAGATTGTTCAAGCCAGCCAGTAGAAAAATTATTCTATTTCACGATCCTCTATGCTACCCTGCTACAAGAGTATCTAGCACGCAGAGAAGTAAAACTGCCTTTACTATGCTTATAAACTCCCAAAAAAAAAAAAAAAAAAACCATATTAAACGTTGGAGCTTCGAAGAAACTGCTACCACTCGTATTGTTTCTGAAGCCAACACCCCGCAGGCGTAAAAGTATAGAGGATTTTGACCCTAAACACTAGCTCCTAATGAAACAGGGCCGCTCCACATCACTTTTAAAATGTCTTATTTCTTCTCATGTACGACACATTTCAACCGTTCTCTTCATTTACCACCTTTCCACACATTTCGTCAAACATATGCTATCCTCAGCATCATTTTCAACAAATCTTTTCCCCTGCCCACCTTTTTTCTTCCGCCCCTCCTGTGATGGTGCAGTGCTGTTCGTCCATGCCACATTTTAACGGTCCTCCTCATTTACCACTTTTCCACTCATTTCCTTAAATACATACTAACTCAGCATCATTTTCCACAAACCCTTTTCCCCTGCTCACCCTTTTCCTTCCGCAACACCTATGATGGTGCAGTGCTGTTCGTCCATGCCACATTTTAACGGTCCTCCTCATTTACCACCTTTCCACTCATTTCCTTAAATACATACCACCCTCAGCATCATTTTCCACAAACTCTTTTCCCCTGCTCACCCTTTTCCTTCCGCCCCACCTATGATGGTGCAGTACTGCTGGTCCATGCGACCATATCAACAAAAAAGGCTGAGTTTTCATGAAAAAAGTAACATGGAAACGCAAAAGAA